AAACATTGTAACATAATGTGGACGTGTTATAAAACAAAAGTTACACAACATGTTACTTAATCTGTACGCACCCTTAGATAATACAAAGATATTCTATTATCATATCTGAGCTTAATACTAGTTTTTAAATATTTAAAATCGAGCTGAGATTAGTACTCCCTATATACTTGTATTAAGTTTACAATTTAAAATATTGAATTAAAACAACTAAACTTTCACAAATTTACTATCCGCACAGAAATCCTCAATGCTCCCATTACTGAAAATGAAATGAATGAAAAAGAAGTTGAGCTTTGAATAAAATTAAATAACATCAAAGAAATATACAAGCACTAACTAAAGGAAAATTACAAATATACACGCTACTACTTTACGAATGACTAAAATTATAAGAAATAGAGCTAATTCGTTTTCGACTTTAAAATTTGAAATATTAAAATACCAACGTAATCAATTATTTATAGTCTGATACGGCTTGTCTCAAAAATTTAAGCTCTTATACCGTTCTGTTTTTATAGCATACTCGCTCATCCTGTACCTAGTTAAAGCTTTAATGATTGCTGATTCATTAGAATGATTTAACACACATCTTATTCCTTTGCTTCTTCTTCAGCCCTTAAGGTTCACTGCATGAGCCTTGGCACGCTTGGCAGGTGGATTTATGATCGCAATACCAGATGTCTCGCATATTGGAAGCTGGTTCTGATTCTATGTCTCCGGTCTGTTAATTTTTTGTCTCCCTATGTCTCTGTCTGTCTCCGTCCGTCCTATGTCTCCGGTATGTTAATTTTACATCTGGATAAAACGAGGTGCTTTTACCGCCAAATATCGGAAGCTACAAGATTTTTCTGACATATCCTCCAGAACAATACCACCACCACCATATCGCTCCTTACTCGCCACGTAATGCTCGTAAGCCTATGAAATATGAACAACTCAAATGGCCCGAGAGTTAGTGTCAATTTTTATGAAGGCAGCTCACGCAGGCAATCTAACGTAATAAGTGTCGTCATCAGATTTCGGGCCATAATTGTGCAATTTCGATACACAACTATAAAGGAATCTATGATGTTCTAACAAAAAAAGATTAAGACAAAATAGACCCGTGTTTGATTTCCAAAAAATAGAATTAAAAGGAACTAAAGATCTATGAGTATGCAGAGGTAAAAAAAACGGTATGACATTGAACATGATACGGCTTATTGACTCCAGCAATTTTTCGGCACATTATTAAGTAGTACGATGTACGTACGTCATTCATTATACTTAAATTGTATTAGACAATCTTTACTTATATTCGACTATGGTAAAATAAAATAAAAATACATAAGTAGTAAAGATAAGCATTTGAAGCTTTCTTGCAAAGCCAAATGCCAAATCTTTAGCTTCATCACTTACTATTAAGTTTGTAAGTATAAAGTTAGACTTATATATATAATAATCAAGCAATTACTTATAATAACAAAACTATAAAAATAATGTAAATAAAGGCAGGATATTTAAAAAGTCACTTCATTCGTTCGCGTATAATAATAGCAATTATAGTTTTTAAAGAACTTGATATTTCTTTTACCAAGTTTATAAGATTATATTTTTCTTCCAAGGAAAAGCCATAATTTGCGCCACTTAATCCGATTTGATTGGAAGCTGTTCAATGCAAATTTAATCAATAGTTGCTAGTTCATCGTCTATCAAGGCAATAATGGTATTAATTGAACTTCGTACTGTTCTTTAACAGAACCAGCATACACAGATTGATTGAAAAAGTTAAGGAGAAGAGTTTGTCTGGTCATTACAAATTAATAGTTGAATCAGCTATCATTACGTTGTTTCAATTTTATTTGAAGACAAGCTGACCCGGCGAACTTCGTACCGCCTATCAGTCGACTCTTGAATTTTTTTTAACACTTATTCTGCTATACTTGTCTGCTATAGCTAGTAAGAGAAAGTTGATAAGCATAGATTAATGATAAGTCATCGCGCGATTACTTATCATTAATCTATGTTGATAAGTCAACAATTAGATTATGTCAAAAAATGAAAATTATAATTGTTTTGCCTTCCCGGAACCCCTCCACTAACACTTAAACTTTATGGTATGGTATTAAAGTACAAATTGACTCTTAAGTATTATTACGAACCTTTTGTATGGGAATATATAAAAGTGTTGTTTTTAGACTTTTTCAGGCAATTTTTTAAATTTTTCTCTCCGTAAGAACTGTCTTCGTACTTCAAGGAATATTATAAAAAAAGAATTAGCGAAATCGGTTCAGCTGCTCTCGAGATTTGCGCTTAGCATCACATTCAGCGATTCATTTTTATATTATAGATTATTCGCTTTTGTAAGTAAAGAAAAGAAAAAAAATGACATTTTACAGTTATGCAAAACAAAAAAAATTGATCCTGTGATTATAGTAATTTTGACATATCAAACCACGATATAAATATAAAATATTGTTAACCCAAATCTATAAAATAAAAAATCGCAGCTTCTATTAATACTTTTAAAATCAATTCGTGAATAAATCTATAATATATTAAATCTATAATATAATATGTTTATCTTATATGTTTGAAATTTTATATTTATTATATAAACACTGGATATTTCGAAGTCCAACTTACTACTTTAAATATCCTGTTAATTTAGTAAAACACTTTCTGTGGCGAAAAAATATAATAAGAACAAAATTACACTTTAATATATTAAAAATTATTTATTACCTAGGGCTACATTACTAGTTATCTCCAGGAGGAATTGTAGTTAACCACTGGCATATAATAAGTAAGAATAATAGAACTTACTTTCTAAACTAACTCGAATACATCTATAGTGAATGTAAGTAAATATATTTCGTAAAGAAGTGATCCAATTAGTGTTCAACAAAAGTTTCAGTGAGTATTGGCTTGCCTCCAACCATTTTAACAAAAAATCCAAGAATTTCTTTTCATGGATTCATTTTCGCCTGCTTACTTAAATATTTAAATATTAATTCTTCCTCGTCATCAACATTACAGCCTGTCAGAAGTCAACTGCTAAATAAAAGCCTTCCCCATATATTGTCTATGGGAGAATATTTACCCTAGATACAATAGATATTTTAAGTGGTAGAGCCATGCTACAGCTTTATTATGGTTGTGGCATGAATAAGTTCGCTCTACCGGGTTAGGACCACGCTCTCACAGAATACCAGCGGCGGCAGCTCAATACCGTTGTGTTTCATATGGTAAGTGTAGAGAACCGGAGACCCTTTTTACTGGAAACGAGGCATTCCATCTTTGACCTCAGGGCTGACAACTCATCTGCATTTTGATTCTTAATCCAGGATAGATGTAGATGTCTATGGACCGCAGCATCCACTTACCATAAGATGGGTTGTGTGCTCGTTTGTCTCCCTTATTCTATAAAAAAAGATGCCACGCTTGACTGAAGGGTTGGTAACTGCAGTTTTGATATTTTAAATTTTTATCTGAATGATGTTGCTGCCCCATCTTCTTCTTCAGTTTCCTTCTGTCGCCTCTTAGGATACTATTATAGGTAGGTAGTAGTTTCTGTTACGCCGGCACGACACGGTAAAATATAAAATATTAAATTTTACGTTAATAACTTATTTGCGTTTACGCCAAAAACAAAATTCCCACACCGGCAACTAAGTGGCCCGTGAGGACTAAGATAGAATTCCTCTTTTCCAGTAAAAAGGGTCTCCGGTTCTCTACACTCACCATACGAAACATAGCAGCATGAAGGTGCTATTTGACGCTGGTATTCTGTGAGAGCGTGGTCCTTCCCCGGTCGAGCCGACCCATTCGTGCTACAACTATACTACTAATATAGCTGCAGCATGGCACTACCACGTAAAAAAATTGTTTTCTAATATTTTTTATCCTCTCAAAAGAGTCAAACAATATCCTTTTAATGCGAAATAAAATCAAACTTCGAAATAATTTCGATATAATAGCTTTTGAAGTCCGGTTTTTAATTCTTCTTAGCACTTAGCGTCTTTTAAATGTTTACAATAATATGTTATTTTAAAAGAAAAAATACATTTTATATTCATAATACGCCGTAGGTCCATAGACATAAAATATCCTAAGCATAAAACTGGTGGTAAAGTCCTTTTACCTCCGTATATTCATCTTTTAAAATAAAACCTTTGTTATGGACTAAATATTTCTATTTCGAATTAACAAATATCTCTCCCACTTAAATTTCTAAATGAATATTAAATAAAATCTTCGTTAAGTTTTATATAAAAATTCAGAATATTTACAAAAAAAGAAAACAATGACACATTTAAACTGTCGTGATTTGCAATATTATCTTTTAATTATTTCTATATACGCGAATACTACACATTGAAAAAACTAATATTAGAGATTTTATCTTTTAAGTCAATAAACATATCCAAACATCCAGTGAAGCGATGGTGAAACTCGAATCCCTTTACACTCCTTTTCCTTTCTACATCGAGGGACACCTTCCACCACTGAACTTAAACTGTTCATGTGGAATCGTACACGAATCGCCTAGCTGCCTCCTAACGGAATGTCTTAACTGATTTTGAAACTTTTTAGTTGATATTAGATTATAAAAATATTTTCGCTGTTAACACATTCCATCGAGGTATTTCCTTTTTCCGTTCCCCTGGTATGTTAATAAGATAAAGCTTATCATCATACCAGTGACATCTGAACAGATGGTTAACTTGTGTTTTAATTTACAGAAAAGTGATATAGAAATATTTACCAAAGTATATTTTTGATGTGAAAGTATCAATTTAATTCCGTCGAAGTACAAAGTATACACACAGTGCTATAAATAATTAATGTAAAAAGTGATTAAAACTATCATTATGTGTTAAAATAATAAAATTTAAAATGACATTAAAAATAACTATCACCGTCTTAGAACTGTTTTGTGTGAAAAGTGTACAAAGTAAAACGATATGGGATGACTCACAGTGAAAAATGTTATATTCTAACCACTATCAAAACCCAAGATGATGCGCGACATTCAGGACAATGCTGGGCCAGGCGCAAGCGGCGTGATGGAGGAAAACGAGGGCGGCGAGAGTGGGGATGTCGAGGTCGATATGGACGACTACGGCTCTCTGACTCTTCCTCCAGACCTTCCACCATATTCAGGCGATTACATCATTAGTGATTACATGGAACGTCTTGGCACTCGACTTAATATACTCGAAACGGAACTCAAGTATGCTTGGCGAGCATTAGACCTGCTAAGCCAGGAATATGTGAGAATGTGGGAAAGGCTGGAGAGATTAGAAGCACTTCTTGCAGATCAACAGGGTGTAATATCAACTTTGCTTGACTTTTATACTTGTCGCAATGTCGCTTCTAGAGATTCAATGACCAGGCTAGAAGTTATTAGAGAAATATTAGGAAATGGGACTGTTGAGGATGGCATAGAAGAGGGATTGGATATAGGACGAACTTCTTTACTAATTGATACTCAAGATGAAGTAATGGAATCGGATGAGGCATTTTACAAAAGCTTGAATCAGGCTTATCGAGATGATCTTGTTTGTGAAGAAAGTTCTATACCTAATTCACAGCTTGATATGATTTGGGAAGCACCTGAAGAACCCGATATGGAATTAATGCCTTCATCATCTCGACAAATTTACAGTGCAAATGATTATAAAGACTATTGTGGCCTACAAGATGGACCTGGTATTAGTGAAAGAGATTTGGTTCATTTATCTACTTTTAGTACCATAGATCAGATAACTGTAGATAAATTACACGAATTAGATAGGTTGACAAGCCAATTACACAAAGATTCGAGAGATTTAAAAGACTTGAAAAGTAGACTACTTAGCCCTGATACAAAAATTGTATCAAAACATGATAGAGACATTGAAGCTAAAACGTTGGTAGAAGATGGAAACATTATAAACGAACAATTAAAAAACATTTATACAGGAGTTGAAAACTGGGGTATTAACGATATGATGAAAAGTTTTGACGATTTTGTTTTAAATGTACCTAAAGAGACACTTACAAGAGACAAGTCACCTTCAAGATTATCACTTACTGAAAATAATGTACCCGAAAAAAAAATGGAATATTTACCAACCAGTATATCACCTAGACGAAAATTTGTGCCAGAAAGAACTACAACAGAGCCTTATACTACTGTAACCGGTCGCTTAGCTTATAGTTCAGCTGTAGCGAATGCTGAAATAAATGCAGCAAAATCATCAAAATCCCCTAGTGCCCTTTCTAAAGAAAGATTTGAATATAGTTCTAATTACCAACTAACTGATTCTCCGCGGCAAAATTATTATTCAACGAGAGTAACATCTCAAACGTTTGATGAAGTTTACAAAACAATTTCAGATCAGCACTCACCTTTGTCTGTTCATGATGTGTACGATGTACCTATAGATAACAGAATGGACATAAATTACGAAGACACTAGGCTGCACAAATCTCCTAGTCCTCCACCGCCAGCTCCTCCTAATGGCGTTGAACTATTTTCGACGGTTGAAAATAATAACGAATTATCCTCTCGACAAGCGATGTTATCTACCGCATCTGTTCCAACAGACAGTGTACGTTTAAGTCCCCGCTCTCCGAAATCTCCAAAAACATCACCTAAGTTTTTGAAAAGGGATACTACTAATATAGTTGCAGCGAAGTCGGATTCTGGTTTATCTTCTATGAGCGGATGGTCAAGTCTTGAAAAAAGCCCAGGTTCACCAAAAACCTCAAGAATATCGCACGGGAATTACGATAGTCATAAATTAAGGTTATTATCTCCGCAAGGTATTCATAAAGTAGCGCATGAAATTGAATCAAAGCCATACATTGAAACATTAGTGGATTCATATCAGTTTGAAGGGCAAACTATTAAACAAGATTATAATTTTCTAAAAGACGAGATTAACGTCATATCTAATTCCAAAGAAAAGTTACAGAGCAAAATGGATGCAAGCCTTTTGAAAAGTGACATGTCATACTCAAACCAAGCAATTACTAATATGAGTGAGTACTACTATAGAAATGAAGCACCATCAATTTATTCAGTTGCAGGAAATAGACAACCAATCTTTACCACAGTATATAGTAGTCCACGAGGAATGTTATCAGATGATAGAAGTTTCTCTGAGTTGTTGGACACAAGCGCCATTTCAGAACCTATTTCAAAACCTGCGATTGACTCCTATCCACCGGAACCAAGCTATCATGCACAAACTGTTGTACTGTCAGCAGCAAATGTTACAAAAAAACCTTTGATAAGAGCAAACACAATAGGTGCAAATGATCCTCACTTTTATCAAAATGGATACAAAGCAGCAAATCATCGTACAGGATACCCGCAAGGCAATCTTACTGATGCGTTATCATATTATCCAACTTCTAGCAGATATGACTCACCAAAACGAGTTTCGTTAGAAGATCAACTGTCTTGGCAAGATAGTAATAAATCTCCATCGAGTTCAATAGAAACTTCCAGCTTAAAGTCGCGATCACTTAATATTACCGAAAGAAAACACTTTCAAAATCAACTTCAACAAGAATATTTCAAGCAGCAGCAATATGACCAGCGTAATGGTAACGTTATTTGTGAAGTTCAGGAATATGAAAAACCTATTGTAGATCATCCAACTACACGAAAAGAGCAATTTGTAGATTCAAGTGGAATTTTAGTTTCTGAGTCAGGGTATTTATCGATTTCATCAAATCTTAGAATGAAAAGTCAAGATAAGTCCTCAAAAAAACCTAAACGTACCTCATCGCTAAGATCAGCTATGTCATCTGTGAGTCATTGGCTGCCTGAATTACATTTACCAAAAAAACATAGATCTCACTCTCTCCCATCTGGTGTAGATACTGTGGAACAGCCCCAACAAGAAAAATCATTAAAGGAAAGAATCTTATCAGCACAAAGAAGAAAAAAGAAATACCAATTAGTTGCGTCTATGTCCGGACTACTACAAAAAGCTAGACGAAAACAACAAAGTAGTCATCAGTCATTATCTGACCCCGAAACGTCAGAAACAGAATGGTCGGGAGGTAGGTCTAGTGCTCAGTCTGAAGACAGTGACAGTGTATTTTCTGATTCAACACACGAAAGCAATGTTTTTGCTAAAGTTCCTGTAAAGCAAAAACATAGAAAAACTAATAATCAAGAAATTGTAGAACAACAGCAAATGATTCAAGAACTACAACAAGGACCAGAATTACATGAAGAAGATAATGAATGCATTATAGAAGAAAATGAAAAGTACAACGCTGCCATTCCCCGGGATAAAAGCGATGATATTGATTTTCACTTTGCAAGGGTTAGCCAAATGAACAAAGATAATATTTCTGAAATTGAAAAACTTGATATTGATACTGATATATCAAATATTGATCTATTTGAAGATAACGGAAAAGACGATAACCAATCCCCAACCTCAATATTTGCAACAATAGGAGATGTAAAAAAGGCTGCAGCAGTTGTAGATGAAGGAGCTAATGAAAATAATAAGTCGTATAGTAGTAGTTCTCAAGAATTTGCAGTTTCACGGGCCTTAGGTAAATACCGACTTCGTAAATCAACCTCTATTTCTGATGAACAAATAAGCGAGAAATCTCCCCCCAGAATTGATACCAATTCCCAAGAAGAACAAAACGATGAGTCTATAAATAAAAAAGACAAGAGACACTGCAAGCCCAGTCCTCCAGAACTTGGTAATAATTCAACGCAAGAGGAAAATGTTTTCTACCCCGAACGCAGTCCATCTAATCAAAGTGCACGAGGACTCCCAAATAAATTTGTTCCACGTCATCAACAAAGCTTAGATATACCTAATAAACATGACGATGATGATAGCCGTAGTACACATTCTTGGAGAAGTGGGTCCCGCGTATCATCAAGAAGGCAAAGCACAGAAGACAGTATAGATTCTGAAGATGAGTGGTATTGCTACGAATTAAGAAAATTAGAAGAAATGGAGCACCAGTCTCAGCAAGAAGCAGAAAGACAAAAAACTTTAACAGAAGAACCTGAACCTGAGGAAGGTAGTGCTATTGAACCTAGGGAGGTTTTGAAGGAAAAAATGTCTTATGTACTTCAAGAGCTTCAACTGAAAACAGCTCCGATAAAGGAAAAGTATGACGAACTTCAAACAAAAGAGACTTGGGAAGATATAACGACATTTCCCATAATTGAAGAGAAGTCAGATGAGTCACACGTTGACAAAGATTATGAAGAAGAAAAGTCATTTGACGATTCTGGATCTGGTGAAACATCGGGACCAGACAGTCCGGTCCAGAGCGGAGATGAATTTGAGGACGACTACAATATGCCTCAAATACAATATCAAGAACAAGAACGAGTTGAAAAGCCTCCAGTCCAGCAAGAAGCGCAAGTTGGAAGTAAATGGAAACTACTTAAAGCATTAAAAGATAGGAAAGCAGAAGAAAAGACCTCGGAAGCACCCGCTGCGACGACGCCATCTGCTGAGAAGGATAAAGTTAGTGCAGGTGTAAGTTACCTTATGCAAAAATTTCATGAAATTAGAGTCAAAAGTTAAATTTTTTTTAATTCCTATAAGAATTAAATATATATATATATATATATATATATATATATATATATATATATATATATATATATATAAATATAATATAATATACATGACTTTATAGTCATTCCTAATGATATTCCAAGTTGTGAAGCAACTGAGCTTTTACTACAAGAATTAGTTATGTGCTTCACTATATAACACTACCACCTATTAACTATATCAATATTAACAAATTTTAGTAGAATTGCGAGAGTTTTAATGGACCTTATTATCTTTTAAATATGAACTTTGTATATATTACAACGTAGTGTCATACTGACACGTGTAAGGATCAAAGTGCAGTGGTTGTGAAATATACTCATTTCAACGAATAGTTTTGTGAATGGATATGCATAATGTCCTCGTCGCGGAAAGCTAGAAATCATGTAAACATAAAGTATGTTATAATTATACATATGTAACTTCTTTCATGTTTCCTAAAAACCATAATATCATAGAAGCAAAATATTTTTATACGAGTTGTAGACTTAAAAAACTTTATTTTATACAGACGCAACGCTAAATGTAGTAATTGTTACCGTTGTTTTAATTGTCTTCTTAATATGGAAATTAATGAATTGCCTAATTTTCTTTCATCTATTTATTTATTTTCTCTATTTTTCATTCATTAGCAGTGTAAGTCGTCGTTTAAAAAAATAATTACTCAGTATAAATAAAAGAAATAAATTTTGTTATTATCAGTGAAAAAGTTATAGCTTCGAAAATAGTAAATCATATATTTATTAAATAATCAAGTTTCATATAGAATGTCGCAAAGTGTTTTAAAAAGTAAAAATATGTACGTCCATTGCGTCCATATGTTTTAAACATTAAAACATATTGGCTTTATAAACGATTTTATATAACATATTACATGTTAAACAATGTAAACAAATAAATATTATTGAAATGTATGCGAAATGTTAAAACAGTTGACGTTTCACGTCCTGACGTCAGGTCGACGTATGTTGGCAAACCAAATATTGTCAGCACCCGTTCCAATAGTCTCCAGTACTACTATAACCGTGGAGATACTAAATGCTACGTACTACTGCATACATAATATTGAACTGCGTCCATGTTAATTGGCCTATTATTTAATATACTATCGATTGTTATTGCTTTTATAAAATTTTTGGTTTGTTACATATTTTCTAGCTCTTCGTTGCGAGAACTATAGCAATATTATAAAAGTATATGAAATTATTACAGCGGACTTAGATGAGAACAGACAATGAAGTGCTTTAAATATAATAATTAACCTCATTGACATTTTACACGCTATGTTTGTTATTGATATTCCTAATTACTGAGGCAATAACTAGAAATCCACACTGCAATATGTACTAAATGTGTTCCGAGTTATATTTTATAAGCCGTTTGATACATTGCTTTAGTAGGTATATTATGCTGATAATATTAAAATATTATATACAAATTAGAATAGGCATCTTGCTTAAATGTATATAATATACAATATGATTAACAACTCTTATATGTACGGTTAAATAAATATTACAAACAGTTAAATTTTAAAGCATAGAAATATTATGAGAGCTAAACGTCATCATTCAATCGATATCATGGTACCAACATTGTAATAGAAAAGCAGCATAGGTAACATAAAATGTACAAAATCGTTCATCGTCATATCATTTCATATCACAAATTATAAAAGGACTTAATTACCATGGCCTGACAAAAAAATCATTCTTTTTATGTAGTTCGTATTAAATACAGAATGAGTTAAAGAAAAAAGTTATAGTTAAAAAAGCTATAAGTTATAGAAAAAATATAAAGGTTTTGAATATTTAATAGAGAATTTGCGTATACGTTGTTAATTATTAAGTCATTAAATAACGAACAATCACTATTCACTTCAAACTCTTGTATAATCATGGCTTGGATAAAATATAATCACTAAGCTGATTTCGAAATCGCTCTACTCTTAACACTGGTTTAAAAACTATATCTATGATATAATCTAATTGTAGAGGATCGCTTAGAATTATTGTGTAGTCGTTTACACCTACATAAGAAGTAGCTGGCACATAATATTCTAAGTCCTAGAAGTTTTATAGTAGAATAACATCAATATAATCTCTTAATGAAAAGTCCTAATTTGGCGAAGCTAAAATACATTAGAAGTTAAGAACACTATATCTGTTCTCGCTTACTCGGTATGGAATCATAATAATCTGCTTTCGAATTACTAATTTATACATTTTGCAACAAAAGGTGGTGACATCCATAAGCTGGTTTTGTACTGTTAATTTTAAAGATGTGTTTTCTTATACCCTATTGAAATGTACTAATCTACGTTATATTATAATGTTATTACTCCATGTTGTAGAAGTTAGCTAACTTAGAATTATAATTGTAGTGTCAAATTTTATTATTGATAAATTTCGTTAGAAGTTTCTTAACGTTATAAACACGGAAACCGCTATTAAAACTGTTTATTATTAACTTATAGTTGAATATAACAGAAATAAAACACAAAAGAAACTTCTCTCGAATATGATATTGTTATTCCTATGATTTTTAATAAAATCTTGTTAGTTTTTATTTATTTTTTTATTTTTCTTACTTAAATTTTTTTTTTATTTTTTAGAATGGATCCGGTGGCTTTAGTGAACAAGGTGGTCGAGGAAATGGGTATGTGTACACGATATGTATTTGATATTATATTTGTATTATGTTAAATATACAATTACAGGAAACGACGTATATTTCAAAAAGTTTTGGGCAAAATTGAATAAAACCAATGTAAAAAACTATTTATTTCCAAAATGTTGTTTAAAAAAAATTAGGACCTATTTTCAATTAATTAAATATTATGTCGGATCAATGGGTTATATACACTTAGCCCAGGTATTATACAGGTCGTCCAGGGTCGTGTTTTTGTAGATCCTTGGGGCTGGTAAATGTTCAACAATCTACTTGTGTAGGACTGTTATGATGATGATGAATTATCAAGGGTAAGGGTGCAGTGAGGAGCGTTCAGTTTGCATGATAAATATACGCTTTTCTGTTACAGCATCTTGCACTTCTGTGTTCCGATCTGAACCGTATAGAGAAAAAGTATAATAATACGCTATGAGCCATTCCATCTTGGTCCACAGATGTGACAACGCATCTATATCCTTCTTTTAGCGCTTTCAAAATCAGCATGAAAGAGGGGATACGTCTCATGAATTCGTTCTTTCGAACGAAGCCCTTATGGAAGTGGACATAGCAGAGCTACCGATAACGACACTTAAAGTAAGATCGACTTCATCATGACGAATAAAAGACACATTATATTCTGCGATATCTTAGTGTTTAGCAAATTCAATGCCGGGACTGATCACCGACTAGTCCGAGGAATCCCGATTAAATATTTTACATTGGAAAGATCCCATCTGATGAAGTCCACGCTCTGACAAAATCTTCTTTTTACATTGGAAAGATCCCATCTGATGAAGTCCACGCTCTGAGAAAATCTTCTTCAAACCGTAGCTGGCTCTCTATACTTCCTGCTGGAACCTCAAAATCAATTGGATGCCCTGAGGCCCACGTTGTGTTTTGACAAGGATATAAGAACTAAAACATTCCTATTTTAGTTGTAAAAATTGTATTTTTAATGAAAAAAAAAAACAATGTTTCGCAAATCTTTCTGCATTGTAAGTCATACCTATTGTACTAAAACGTGGGTACTAACTATGCGGCTTTTCTACTGCTCTAGGTTTTCTCTAGTGAATAAAGTACACAATCATAAAATACATGGGAGAGCCACTAACAAAGCCTTCCGTTTCAGTAAACTAAAATAGCAACTGGTTTGGAGTAGACGTGACAAAGAGTGGAGATCGCGTCTAAGCAAACGCAATGTGCGACGCCCTCTGACGAGATGAAGCAACAACTTTAACTGGGCTAAGTAACCCGCAGTGGGCGGTCGCAAATTGATGGTGATGATCATATTTCAATAATCATCGAGGGCACATTTAATGTCCACTGCTGAAAATGAGGAAAATTTGCAATGATCCTCACACTTGACGAATCCAGTACTAGAAATTTCACACCTTTGACACTTCACAATCTGGTGATAGATTCTATTACGCCATAATAACACGTAAAATGTTGACATTTTAATTTCTAATTTTATCAATATTAAGTGTCAATCATATTTTTTTTTTCTCATTTTTATAGACACCCCGGAGATAATCCTTTCTATAGTAACATCGACAGCATGCCCGACATACGGCCAAGGAGGAAATCAATTCCGCTGGTATCGGAACTTGTAAGTAAAAGTTTTAATATCTTTATTAAAATCTACATGTAATACAAATAACACCTTAATGAAGTCGGCTAAATATGGCCGCTTTCAAATAATTTGTTTCAAAAGAACGCCGCATAATAATATGTAAGTATTAAAAGAGAGTTTAGGTGATTTTTCATATCTACTCAAAAGGTAGATTGACTAACTGGTCGTTTATGTTTTGAGCTCATATCAACGTTCGCTTTCTGGAGCTTAGTAACATTAGGCGCGTAATAAATGTCTTTTCTATACGGTAACTTTCTATTTCGTTAAACAATTCATGGAGAAAATATAATAATGTCATTTTACGGATTTTATTCTTTTTTCGAGTCTGTAGTCGAGTCTTATGAAATTTGAATACTCTCCATTTATTGTTTACTTTAAAAAGACACTTTAAAAATTTAATACTTAACTTTATAAATCTTCCTATCTTCCTTGATGTTTAATGTTATCTATCATTTATTTCTCTCCTTTCTTACTTATCCGAACGACCTCCACCAACTCACCCTAGATGGTCTTGCAGCCCTAAATAGTCTGAAACGTGCAAGAAATAATTTAGGGGTCACCTGATAGCAAACAAGATGGAAAGCCATATCGTAAATAAACTACTCCTGACAAAAATTAATAATTTACTTGCATTTTACTCCTTACCACGGACCCGCAGGTTCTCAAGGTATTTCCTCCCAATAACAATTCTTTTCTATGCATGCGTTACATACTTTTTTTTTTTTAAATAGACAGGCTTTTGATATGCATAATATTAATTTTCTCTACTACATTCACCTCGCAATTTATTAATTTTATGCATGCAATATAAACCATCTTTTTATTAACTTAGTGTTTTATAAGTCTTAAGGCCTTATTTCATATGTATCTCGTTTATTTTATTAAAAATAATAAAGCTTTTTAGTTTAATAATATTCCTATTAAGAGATCAACATAAAAAGTAAACAGGCACGCGCTTTTGAATTTTGAATATAATTTTGATATTATAAAATGAAATAATATTTATACTTACGAATATACTTCGCACATTACATCGTATAAACTTTCTCAATTTTTCCTTTTTTATTTGCATTATATATTGCAAACATACACACTGTTTTGCTTCAAGAAATTTTGCACTTAATTGGATACACTGTATGATTCGTATTTGAAAATATAATTTTTAGTTTCGCATTCTGATAGTACTAAATGACATTGAAAACATGATAATATTTATGTCATTATAAATTTTATATTAAATTATTTTAGTGTTTAAACAGGCTTGCAAAACTGCTTCAATATTTATAGCATGGATATGTTGTTCGAATAATGACGAATAAGCAAGAGTAATATTAACAGCTGTTATTAATACTATTTTCTAACACGTTTAACAGTAAATTTGATTATGTAGTCAATTAGATACCTTATTAAATATAACTACTTTCTTAATAAAAATGTTATTATACAGACAATGGCAGCCACAAAAAGGAATGCTGGACTGACGTCAGCTGTTCACAGAGCAACTTTAAACGATGAAGAACTGGTGAGTGATTTTAGACAAAAATATTTGTATTAATGTACCTAGATTATTGATATACGCCAAAGACAAACGGCTAAAAGGGGAATTTTTTTTACTTATTATAAGCCAGTGCTTGACCACAATCTCACTTAGTGGTAAGTGGTGATGTAGCCTTAGATGGTAAATCGCACTGTCTTATCGTAACAAAAGCCTATTCACTCTTGCCTTGAAGACGCCCAGATTGTATTCGGACGGAAAGATGGACGCCGGCAAATTATTCCACTCCTTTGCTGTACGCATTACAAAAGACGAAGCAATCCGTTTGGTTCTGATGCGTGGAATATCGACAACAAAGGGATGAAGACCCTTATTCACCGAAATGCATCCTATAGAATACTGAGGGACTGGCTACTCTGCGCCTGTGCTGGAGGCTGACAAGAATAATTATTAACTGTCTATTAATAACTAATTATTGATATAAAAATAAAAATTGCTGTTTAGTGTCACTGCCTCTTTCAACATCAATGGGTTAATAAGAGCTAGTGTATTATCTACTCCATAGCAACCCGTAGATGTTGTAAGAGACGACAGAGGGAAACTGAAACAGAAGGTAGACAGCAGCATCTTTCTGATTATAGCGTAATAATATTAAAAATACGGCCAGCATGCTGGCCGTATGAGGATGCTCAAGGTCGCTCAGCGAGCTATGGAGAGGGCTATGCTCGGGGTTTCTCTGCGTGATAAACTTAGAAATGAGTATATCCGCAGTAGAACCAGAGTAACCGACATAGCCCAACGTATTAGTAAGCTGAAGTGGCAGTGGGCCGGCCATATAGCTCAAAGAACCGACAACCGATGGGGAAGAAAGATTCTCGAGTGGCAGCCTCGTACTGGTAGGCGAAGTGTAGGGCGACCCCCCACTAGATGGTGTGACGACCTGGTAAGACATGCAGGAAGTCGATGGATGCAGGTGGCTCAGGACCGTGCTTTGTGGCATTCCTTGGGGGAGTTCTATGTTCAGCAGTGGACTTGTGAAGGGCTGTAATGATGATGATGATGAATATTAAAAATAGTGCGGATGTCAATCCGTCGACTTGCAATGATCACCTCTATGAGTCGATCTATGGCGGAGGCTTATGTTCAGCGGTGGACTTTTAATTGGTTCTAATGAATAAATGAAAAAACTGTAGCAAAATACAATACCTGCAATCTGTGTCTAAAACGCTGGCCGTATAATTATGGTAACAATAACAAATCTGAATTGATGTGTCGTTACCCTAGTTATCTGGTATATATTAGGCCTATATTCAGAAGTTCACTGTTTAACGTAATATAAAGACATCACGTCTACTGCGACGTATTGCGAATGCGATTATCGGAAACCAATAACTTTTGTTTCCGCACAATTTTTGAATATGGTTGGATTCAGATGCGATAGTAATAACTAGGCCAAGCGGTAAACAAATCATAATATAGAGATTATTTTCAGAAAATGCATGTGTATAAGAAGACATTACAAGCTCTCATCTACCCTATTTCATCAACCACTCCTCATAATTTCGTACTTTGGACCGCCACCTCACCAACATATTGTTACGAGTGCGAAGGTTTGCTCTGGGGAATTGCAAGACAAGGAGTTAGATGTACTGAATGCGGAGTGAAGTGCCACGAGAAGTGCAAGGACTTACTCAACGCAGACTGCCTTCAAAGTGAGTTTTAACAGCGTTGATTTTTTATAATTTTTTGATCATGAAATTTGTTTTTGGATCCTAAAAAAATTACGCAACTCAAGAATTTCTTTTACTGTTTACGGCTATTTGATTTTATATGTGAAACAATCCAAACACAAATTTACACTTATAAATTTTTGTATATCGTCGAAAATAATAGACCATTTCTTTTACACAATAATTAATGTTTACACGATAGCACATTAAAGGAAATATTTTTTTTTATTTTACAGATTTTATCGCGTTTAATGTTCAATTGCTAATGCTTTGCAGCAATGAATAATGTATAAAGTTTTATTGATATGTTCATTTTACTTTCGTTGCCTATTATTTTCGACATTGTATTTAATATAATATTGGAAATGTTTACGTATTATGCTTGTTTCCCGTTTTCAATTCAATTTCCATTATCTACATACATTTCTTTTAACTCACTATTTCCACTGACCATTGCATTTGCTTACAAACATATTATATTTTATTCATACTATACCACTAAGTATTGACGTTTGCTTGACTATGAAAGCGGCATTCGCTCCTTATTATAAGTCGAGTGGTGTCAAGATGATGTTTAAAAGGTCGCTAACTATAGACAAGATCTTTGTTACACAACGCTCGCGATAAAAAATGCTTAACTCATAATTTCATTTTTTTAGTATCGGTGCGGTGACCTTTAAAATATTATACGAATAAATATGCATATAATGTTATGTATAGTGCTTTGTGTCATCCTCTGATGCATTTTTTAGAGTATCCTAGAACAAAAGAACCTTGAAGTATCTTTCAGAATCGAGATGTCTTTTGTGCTCACTTATATTTTCTACTCCCTTATATTGCACAAAAAAAATTTTTAAGATTTTTTTTTGTTTAAATTTGATCGCATTCTGTTTTAATGTTTTTAAAAAAATGTCAAGTTCATCTACTCTATTATAAACCGTGAATAAACCAAAATAATTTAATTTATTAAAAATAAAACTGTATTAATAAATAGAACTCTTTTATTTTAAGCTTATTTTCTTTTATGCGTCCTCACCCTGCATAATCGCGAAGTGTGCAGCCTCCGTAATAACTTCTTGACGAAATAGGATGAATACGTTAAGTCATTCTATAAGTACGTTATTATTTGTGATACAGGGCTCACGCCACTATCTTTAGCCAACGAACATTGGCAAGACCCGGCAGTACGTAGCGTCTCCGACAGAGATACCGTATAGGAAGAGAAAGAGCTTCACAGGCGATTCTACAAGGCTACATAACAGTCTTTCGTAGACACGGTCGGGTTCCTCCACTGGCTATGGTTCGGCGACCCTTTTGGGAAAACCTAAGGTTGTATCTGTGCCATACGCGATCAGATTATTAAGACCAACAACTATGAGAGATACATAATAAAGAATGGCACCAACGATATCTGTCGAGACTGTCGCTATACCGGCGAGTAATTTAAACATGTCATCTTCGGTTATTCTGCGCTTTCTAACACTGACTATTTAAACTGACACAACCTAGTAGAGGCAGGTTCATACATCAAGAACTTGCTCTGAAGTACGGTCTCGTGATCGTAAACTGTCTTAGTAGTGTACCCACCGAAAGCTGTGTTCTAAAGTGACGGTGCCAGGTTCTATTAGGACATATCATCACAGATATGACCATTCTTGTGAATAAGCCTGATATTGTGTTGAAAGACCGATCACAGTCAGAATATTCTTAGTCGACATTACCATTCCTGGCTCACAAGGTTACCGACATGTAGGGTAATCTGTCAACCGAAATTATTCCTGTAGGCGTTTCTGCAAACGAGCTAATCCCTGTCAGCCTTTCGGATTATCTGAAGCGACTGGAACCCCACGATGGACCGCTCCAAACTCAAATACAGAAGGCGGTGCTACTAGATGCCGACCGCATCTTCCGCCGGTTTCCTTCACTTTCCCTCTAACTACCGGTCGTTTGGTCTCCAATGCCGAGTGCTTCCATCTTGTTGGGTTTTTATTTATTTATATATTTTTTATTCGTCGTACTATATTTAAGGTGTATTTAAATTTTTCTTTTATATATTTATACAGCCCAACCAGATGAGAATATACTGTAATACTAATACTATAAAAAATCCAAATTAAATTTAAAAACTTAAAAAATCCAATGATTGAGGACTCTCTATCCTTCGCAAAATATATTTGAATATTTTTAAACAGTTAATCGTAAACAGTAATTACATTAATATAATTAGTTATAATATCGTTGGTTGGGATCGTAAAACAGAATCCATCACACTATTTTGTCCTGACTTAAGAAAATATTATGATTAATACCAGAAAAATCTTATAGATTCCGACAAATGACGATGTAACCACCTCATTTACGTTAGACGTAAAATATTCTGATCATGGTGACAGCGTCAATGGTGCGAGACGTTCACCGCGATCGTCTATCCACTTGACAGTTGCCAAGCGTGATAATTAAGACAATTCCTTCCTACAACGGAAGAGATCGAAAAATTTTACCGAGAATTTTACGGGCCGATAAAGAAGAAAGAAAGAAAATATATGTAAAGTATGGATCGGCTTACATATTTATATTTTATGCGTAATTTGTTAGATTTAGGTTTAGCACACTAACCGATGTCAATATAACAAGGTAAAACGGTATTTGAATCAAAATTTTGTCGTAGGTAAAGCAGTAATTTTAGTTCATTTGCATGAATAAAGTATTTGCATGTATTAATCATTACTACATTTAAAATAGTAGTTTTGTTTTCTTAATATATAAAAAATAGATCAAACGTTATTAATAATAATGCAGACAGCAAGAGTTAACGATATTCAAAAATGAATACAAAGAATATTTAGATTTTGAAACTATAAGCTAGATATTTGATTCTTACATGGCGTGTGTTTCGTTTTCATTAACTCGTTAACATTTTGGACCTCATAACAAATAGCATGAGTTACAATCGTCGTTCGAAGCCAGTGCATTATCACCACATTTTATGACATTTTTCCTCAACTTCAGTCCCGTTGGACTCCGTTTTAGATTCACGTTTGTATTACCATGCAGGCGAGCAGTCGTTCTTATTTAAACCGTTTCATGAACGTTTACAATTCGCGTTACTCGACTGCACGTCCTTAATATAATCTAGTCTACACTTTGAAAGCAACAATGATTTAATATCAACTCGTAAATATTCAATTGTGTTTAAAATTATATTATTTAGGTATATTTTACATTAATATTTTTGTAGAACCATACTAATGAATCTTTTCATGTTTTTTTTAAATCTTTATTTCATTTTATTTTGTAGCACCTTGTTTGCACGTATTTATTATACATATTTCACCTCATTTCGTATGTATTAATATGTAAAATATTATAAAATGTTTTCAAAGTGTGGACAGTTTAGATTATTTTAGTTACGGGTCCGTCCTTGCATTCGTCCGTTCTTCCGGGTTGCCCCGCCCAGCGCCGAAACTTGATAACATCCTTAAAATATCTAAATACTATATACCCTACTTTACAACCGACACTTTCTATTTAATTTTGTTTAAAACTTTAAAAAACACAATAGACACTGCCGATCAGATAAAGCTGAAAGTGACTGTTAGAAATTAATGCACGCTTTTTAATTTCTTTCCACTTCAAAGTTACATTATGTGGTCTTAGATTTTATCTTATTTTCATTTTGTGTTTCTTAAATATTATTTTGTTTTTATTTGTTGTTAAAAAACTATAAAAACGCCCAAAACAGGGTTGAATTTATTTAGTAAAATATAAGTTATTCAATAACTAATGTACATTAATAGACCTATAAAACTCCTACAAATTAATATATAAAGGGTATTGCTTATAGTATAAAGATTGAGTCCGCGCTATAACGTTTATTTTGATAAATGTAGACAAAATTCGCTAAAGATAATGACTATGGTAAAATTAACTCAGTAACTGATTAGGCTGTGTTTAAATATAATAAAGAGGCGCAGTGCTCAGGTTTGCTGCGACTGGCGCCGCTTGAAGTGAACGACGACATTAGAACTGATATCCTGAGAAAACATTGAATATTTATGAATCGGTTTCTGGTGGAGTTGTAGCTATCGAGTGGTCGTACCGGGCCTGAACGCGGGGCGGGGGGCCGTCCCGGCGCATATAGCACAATTAAGAACTATGTTGGCACCGCCTGAGCAGTGTGTTTCGCAGGGGCTGCTGAGAAGTCTTCCAAGCATGGAGCCGAGGACAAGGCGAACTCTATCATCACCGCTATGAAGGAGCGAATGAAGCAAAGAGAACGGGATAAACCGGAGATTTTCGAACTCATTAGGTAAAGATATTTAACTCAAATTTTAATTATTATCTTAAATAAAGTGTCACGAAGAATCTGTAATAGTATTATGAGAACTCGGTAGCGTTCAGCTGCAGCGCTGCGCACCGCGGATGCGATGTCCATTCGGAATACATTTGTATCGCCTACAAACAATTGTTTCAGCTTTTGATGTTTGGCCATGTTCAATTTATGTATGTAAAACGCCTTTACGATACAAGCGAAATTCCTGGAATTTCTCAAAGGATTTTTATAACAATAATTATTTAAAAAATTATATCATTACCGTGCACAGCTTGATATACCTTACCTTCTACGCTCAGAATAATCTTGATTGGCAATAGTTTGTATTGCTATATAATTAATATTTTTGTAACTTTACTTATTTTTAATATAATTTTCCCTATGGATTTTCTTCTTTAACGGCCGTTAAAAAACCACTGATGGATATGGGCCTCTCTTGCTGTAGTAAGAATTTGCCTAAATCTCCGCGTTTGGTAGGCAGATTGACGACCGCAGTACCAGACATTTCGTACCTTCGACGCTGATTCCTGTCGCTGGTCTGGGTATCTTACGACTACACTAACGAGGTAGTGTCTCACTATCCGCCATCTTTCAGAAGCCTTAAGGTCTTAATGACAATTCCCGTAGTCGACTCTTACGACACCCACGGTACGAAATGATATTAAGGGTTCTCTTACGCTGTCATCATACGGTAGATTTCTACGGATATTTATTGCACTACAGTCTGTATTTATGTCGGGTCAGCTCGAATACAGGTTCTGTTTTCTACGAGTCATTGATTAAACGATCTAATAATTCAGTATTATAGGATTTATAACGTGTGCTAATTTTGGAACCGAGATTGTTCATCTATAAAGATTTATTTACAATTAAAAACATAAACATACATAAACACTCACGCCTGTCACCCAGAGGGGTAGGCAGAGATTATGGACTTCCATTTGGCACGATCCTGACACACCTCTCTCGCTTCCTCCACATCCATATACCTACGCATACACGCTCGTCGGTTAAAGGTACTCTTTGGATTTGGCCCATTTTTAATATAATCGCCAATTTGGTCGATAAACTTTCGCCTAGGGCAACCCTTCCCGACTGTGCCGTTCACCTCTGCAATATAAATTTGCTTTGACACTCTTTCCTCATTCATTCTTTCTACATGGCCAAACCACCGAAGCATTCCTTTCTTAATCCTGGTCACAACATCGTCTTGCAAACCACACTCTTCTCTTATTAAACAATTTCTCACTCTGTCATTCAGATTCATCCCTAACATACTCCTTAATGACCGCATTTCTACAGCATTTATTCTACTCTCGTGCTTCTTCTGCCACACCCAACGTTCACTACCATACATTAAAGTAGGTACTAACACAGCATTGTGAATTGCCGTACGTGCCTTTTTGGACACATTCTGACTTTTCACAATAGAGTGTAGAGCCCCATTCACTCTATTTCCTGCATTCACTTGTCGTTCTATATCCTTATCATATCTACCATCCCTGCTAAACACACATCCCAAATATACAAACTCATCTACTTGCTCTACTAACTTCCCTTCTATTCTTATTTCACATATCGTTTTACTTTCTTCTCTTTCAAAAACCATAACTTTCGTCTTACTTGCGTTCACTTTCATTCCCTTTTCTTTTAATGTCCTGTTCATTAATGTAACCATCATTTGTAACTCGGCCGCCGACGATGCAAGTATGACTTGATCATCGGCGTACAAAAGGCATTTGACGGTTAACTTATCCATTCTTAACCCGCATTCTTCTACTTTCAAATTTTCCAAACAACTGTCCATAAATAGGTTGAACAACCACGGGGAAGCCACACAGCCCTGTCTGACACCTTTATGGATGCCAAACCAGTCCGCGTAGGCCCCGTTGATCCTGACACAAGCACTAGAGTCCCTATATAGAGACTTCAATGCCTGTATCAGACCAGCGATCAACCCAAATGAGTTCAGTGTTTGCCATAACACATCCCTGTCCACTCTGTCATAAGCCTTCTCCAAGTCTATGAACGCACAAAAAACATTTTGGTTTTTGGCCAAAGACTGCCGTACATCCCATTCCCTTTCTAAATCCCAAAATTTTCCATCAGTTTCTTTCATAACTCTTTCAATTAGTACCTTAGCATACAGTTTTCCCACAATGCTAAGAAGGCTGATACCACGGTAGTTTTTACAGTCCTGCTGTGATCCTTTTCCCTTATATGTTGGGACTATCACGGCTTTGCACCAGTCTCCCGGTACCCGCTTAAGTTCCCAACATAAATTAAACAAGGTGTACAGCAGGTCTGCCACCACTCCTTCTCCAGCCCTTAGCATTTCGAGAGATACTCTATCATAACCGGCTGCCTTACCTGCTTTCATACTTTTCATTGCTTTCATTATTTCATCTATACTTATATCTCTATCTATTTCCTCTTCTTTCGGAATTTCTATTTCATTTAATTCAAACGTCTCATCACTCATAAACACGCTTTCAAAGTATTCCTTCCATCTCCTTAAACTCAAAACTTCGTCATTCAGAATACAGCTACATTTTACAATTATTTTGCACAATAAATGTTCTCTTATTCAAAGGCTATGTGATAGAATTTATCACAATATAATCATAACCAAATACGCGAAAAACAATGTTTGTACAAACAATAAACACGTCATATTTGTAAAATATTAAACATCAATTTATGACTTTGTTTTTACTGTTTTATGCTTGACAAATGTAAATAACTAATCAGCACACTCTATGATGTTATCATTAGTAAAAGTTTAAAAGCTATAAAAAATTAACTACTGCATACGTAAGAAAAATAATTTATATTGTTACTTACCTATACATATAAAGCAACAATATAAAAACGACACTAAATAATTTTGCATTAATCTTGTCATATTATCTTTTGACCGGAGTCATTAGTATACTCGTAATGCCCAAATACTCAAATAGTGATGTTGCTTTCCGTCACCAGTCTGCAGGATTTGGGTTTAGTATATAGAATGGATATTCCGTCGATTTTTTTCCTTTTTCTCGTAAGGTTGACTTTTGGGGAAAAAATCTTTTTAATATGAATATGACAATGATGATGTATACTGATGTACTACGAACTCGGCGTTAAAGAGAAACATCGTGATGTTACCAGCATGTGAGGAATTAAACATTCCTAAGACTGAAGAAGACCGCAACACGCACGGCGACTAATACCTTTCAAATATCAGTCTAGTCCCAGCTATGATAATTGTAAATAAAGTAAAGTTACAGCCTATATTCGTTCCACTCCTAGCCACTGACCTCCTCTGATATGTCTCATAAACCCTCTCTTTATAGAGCAAGGAAATGCCTACTGCGCTGTCTGTGTTTCTCATTCATGCAGGTTTTTTCACGAAGTTTTCCTTCACCGCCTAGGTAAATCAGCACATAAAATCGCATTTAACAAATGTGCTGAAGTAACCTATGGAGGTCCAAACCGGTTTGAGCGCGTGCTATCACATTTAGCAACCGCATAGTCCTTGAGTTACCACATATCAGCTGATGTATATAGGAAGTAACTATCTTTAATGACAAAATATTAATATGAGTGTGATAGGAGAGACGAAATAATAAATAATCTATTTTTCCCAATGCATATACAGCGGGTGATAACTGGAGCTTACTTAACTTTTTGATGGGTTCACAGATATTGCGCAATAAACAAATTTGACAATGTGTGTATGTGTGTGTGACAGACGCGTGTTCAGCATCGAAGGAGAGGGACATTCAGCACACATGAGCACCGTGAAGCAGTCGGTTCTTGATGGCACATCAAAATGGAGCGCCAAGATCGCTATCACAGGTTGGGAGATGTGGCGTAAAATAATAATATAATTCTTCCACAGGTGTCATGGCAGCCGGTAATCAGCGAAGATCCCGTACAGAACTGTGTCGAGCACATCACTAAATTTCTTTTCTTTCGTTTCATGTGGCGACCAGGCGGACTTTTAGTGTCGACCCAGACACACACATTGACAGCCTCGAACAGGCCAAGCAAGTCACTATTGAAGGGACTTCGAAATGGTCCTGCAAAATCGCCATTACAGGTTTGCAGTGGTCTTTTGCGGCGACGAACCGCACGCTCGCAGATTTCGCTCTATTAGACAAAATCTTCGCCTGACTTCCATATAATTCTTATTTTTGATATCTGCTATTTTAAAAATCACAATTTAGATAATAATAATAATTCGTGAAACGTGCAGACTTAAACTTGCAGTTACAAAATATTTTCAATTTAGTGAAATTGTAATACCAAAATGGAAACGTTATTCATAATATTAGCAGATGTCAGAAAACCCTCTGCAATTTTACTTCAATTTAAAAACCAATCCATTCACGGACGTTAGTGCACCGCCTCTACTCACCTATAACTAAACAGCTTAAATTGTTCATTTACACTGAGGAAATTCCACGAATCAAACAAAAAACATGAATTCTATCACATAATATACAATTTTCAATTTCCACACACTTTTTTGCATCACACGTACAGGACGATTATAATCACTTTATTTAATATTAACTTAATTAAACATAATCAAATAATAACTAATTAAACACATTTGCACGCATTTTACAAACACAAATTTAACACGATTTTGAAAATTTTTAGCACATTATAATCCGTGATAAGATATCTAATTTATAATTTACTATTTCAGACCTAATAGAAACCTTCTAACACGTGTAGTTCTCTTTATCAGTAGGTGAATGAAAATTGAATAATTAGTGAATCCAGTAGCATGCGGGACTTTAAAACCTGGCACTCTTTAAAGGACATCCCATTTGATTTGCATACTTTCCTGTTTGAAAGTTTGTAAAATTTTCGATTCGTGTAAATTCCGAGAGCATTAGATAATATAACATCCGAGCATACTTACTTTGTTACTTTCTTCTTGGTCGAAGTTTGCATTAGACGTTGCGATTATGTAGTCGCTGCAATCGAATCGTTATAGAATTGAAATTTGGGCATTTTAGAGAAAATTTGGTAGATTTGATGCTAGCGTCTTCTTCTTCAATCCCATCCCAGATCATTAACTTCAAGAAATCCAGACGGTAATATAGCTAACATAAACCGGCGCCATTGGGTAAGTATTATGTAAAGATAGAAAACGAGCCTCAAAGAGCCCACGCGTACCAGGCAACTTGGATGCAACAGACTTATTAGGCCCAGCAATATGCTGGGCTGCGGCAAGAATTAAAACGTGCTATATTACGCCAGTGATCTGCTTCTAGTCTCCGTAAAGTTGTTTTTGCAGTCAGTCAAAATTTGAGTGCTGAATCTAAATTAGCAATGGCTTTTAATACTTAGAAATTTCGACTATTGCTTGGTTGTCTAATCCTGGCTGTTGCAACCAGGATGTCTAATATGTGGTGGCTCTTCAATATCATGTTGCAGTAATTAAAAGTAATCAGTATTTAATTATTTTAATTCGTAAATAGTAGTTGTTACAATAATGGTAAAAAGTAGATAATTGCCTCTTAAATGCAAACATGTTCCCTGTGTACTATCACCACTTAATACCTATTAAAAACCTAATACGTATCAAGATTGAGTGCCTCATTTCTGGTTATTATTGAAACGGAGTAATTATTTACTCTTTGGCCATTTGAAAAGGTAAAGTAATAATAAGTGGTTTTATTATTAAACTTTGTTTTTTGTTACAAAAATTATGAGTTTTCCAACAAGTCCGAGTATGGTGTTAATTGAAAGGAAACAACTTACTTTCTCGTTTAAAAATTTCTGTAATTTTATTCACGAAATCGCTATTTATTATTTCGGATCAATTATAATTGTTACCACGTTTATTACACATTTTAACATCTCCTCCCACACCCTTATGTAGTGTATTTCTTTGTATATTTTTCCAAATAAAACGTTAGTATGAATTGATAACATCAGAATTGATTAAAATAAAATAAAATGGCATCGAGAAATGTCTAAATCTTTATCTTTTATATTGACTAGTTCTATCACAAACTTTTATTACATAACAGAAATGTCAATTAAATGCATTACTCCCTTTCAACTTTTCTAATTTAGCTAGAGAATGAAAATGTGTCAATCTAAAACCCAATCTACAAGATGTCATTGTTTATAATTGTTACATACTCGTAAAGCTCTTCTCGCGTTCAACTTTTGAGACTGTAGAACAAAGTGTTTTCACAAGTTCAATTACAAGAAGGCTATCTAGTTAAAAACATTATGATTTAATTGACAAACTTGGAGTACTACACTTTTCTTCAGAACACATGACGCTGTTTTTCCTGAACGATCATGTAAAATATATTTCACGATATTTTTAAGTAATTCCATTTTTGTTTCTGTCGTTTAATCTTTGCAAATTGCGTTAATTACCAGTCAAAGATATTTCGTTCCTATTGGAAAACTCATAACTGTTGTAATTTATTAAGTTCTACACTTTAGTGTTGTTTTTATATTCGACTAAAAAAAATTCCTTTGCGGGCAGTTATTTGTGCACAAGGGCTTATCGCAAAAGACAAGAGCGGAACTTCTGACCCTTACGTCACTGTTCAAGTTAGCAAAGTTAAGAAGAGGACAAGAACAATGCCTCAGGAACTGAATCCAGTTTGGAATGAAAAGTTTTACTTGTGAGTTGAATTGTTGTTCAAATATTGTAAACTTTAATGTGCTTTAAACTAGAATATTAAAATAAAAAAATATATTTAAGAATTATATTGAAAGAGCCTCTATCACAATACACTGTCTTCAACTTATTTAGAGCCGTGGTAGCCAGGCAGAGCGCTAGCGGAAACACTAAAATTTCTAATTGAAATTTAAGTGTTTGCGCTATCGCTCACATCGAAAGGAAGGAAACCTTATTACATATTGGACGCTGTAAAAATCGTCATATCTTCTTCTCCTTCTTTATCTGTCCATAAAAGTCAACTATTAGTGATGACCTTTTTTGTAATGTAGGAATTGATTGATTGATTGGTTGATTAATTACATTCTATTAGAATACCACTGCAAAAAGGCCTCCCTTTGTCTTATATATTTGCCACAGTTGCCACGCTTGGCAGGTGGATTGACAACCGCAGTTTTTATTATTATTTATTTGTTATCAAGATGATGCCGGCCATCTTCTGCTTCAGTTTTCCTCTTTCACCTCTTACGACACCCACGGGATTATATGTGGTGGATTCTCTTAATTCACCAGTACACAGAGTAGTGTAAGATTAATGTACCTTAATGAAGGCCATGAGGTCTGTTTGACCGGTTACCATTGTTACCTTTTACGATGTGTTATCTCACGCCGCCACCAGACGTGTCTAAAAATTTAAAAATAATTTTAACACAGCTAGCATCCGTATCAGCAACTATCTGCATAAAAGCTGGATACTCTTTCATGATATGTCACATTTTTAGACTAACCTTTACTCGTAAGTTACATGAATACAATTTATGACTACATTACTATTTTCTTCAAATATCTAATAATTTTCTCGGTAATAATTTTACTTAAACAACCATTTCTTTCAGTGAATGTCATAACTCTTCCGATCGCATCAAAGTGAGAGTATGGGATGAAGATAACGACTTAAAATCAAAGCTCCGGCAAAAGTTAACCAGAGAATCGGACGACTTTTTGGGCCAAACAATCATTGAGGTAAATAAGAATTAAAATATTAAAACAAAAATTACTTCCAATAATTTCAAGGCATTTATAAAAACATCGGGCGTACTTCAAAAAAGAAATTAAATATATAAAATGGTAAAGAATTTTACAAAGTTAATTAGACGTGTCGAGATTCACGATGAAATTGTAAAAGAGGAAAAGTAAATATATTTAAGGTTTTACCTTATTTTTTTATTTACCTTATGATTTTTATAAATTGTATCAGTAGACACGTATATTTGCCGCAGGTTCGAACACTTTCCGGAGAAATGGACGTGTGGTACAATCTGGAGAAGAGAACGGATAAGTCAGCTGTGTCAGGAGCCATCAGACTTCATATAAATGTAGAAATCAAGGGTGAAGAGAAAGTGGCGCCGTATCATGTTCAGGTAAGTGCTCTTAAATTAAAACCATTTATTAAACAAGTAATCCTTGTTGAAAATGAAATTTCTGATTGCTATAGACTTTACAGGCTAAACAGGCTGTCCTAGTACTCAAGAGGACAGATTGAAAATATTCTCAAATTGTTGTATCGTTATCGTTGTTTTCGTTGTTTAAAAAAACTTATTATGTTTTATGCGGAAAGACAAAAATAGAGTTGTCAACTTAATATTAACCTATGAGCGACTGCAGTTTTTAATAACGGCCTGTATAAAATTAATTATGATAAAATTAAATTTTAAATATTCATGGCAAGAGCGAATAGGCCTTTGTTACGTCGGTACGCTTACGCTTTACCATATAGGGCAATAGCACCACGTCAGCAGGGAATGTTGTCAAACACGGACTTGTTATAAATAATAAGATATAGTCAGGATAAACATATAGTCAACAGGTACAGTAAGTATTGGCACCGGGCCTATTGGATGTAAGCCAACAAAGCTCGTTATCACTATATTATTCTTCTAAACACTTCTTTAAATTTCTAAGTTTTTTAATTACTTCCTAACTAATTTACCCACGCGATATATTTAAGTAGTATGATTATATTCAGTTTTTCTTGTAGCTAACACCACAAAGTCTAAAGACAAAAGTCTTCAACAAGTGCCTGTACGCACCTATAGTGCCGAATCGCGGATACTGACGTTACGACTGCTAGGTCAGGGCAATATGGCCGGTGAATTAGGGTAGACATACCTTTTGAATTAAAACAGTCGAGTGTTTGTGAACAGATATATGCAGCGCTGCATTGTGGTGCTATAGAAGATGCCGAAGTCAGGAAGATTTTGGTGTAACATAAAGCTTATAATACTTTTGGAGCAAAATTATTACTTACCACCCGTTAGCTTACCGTTTTTTCATCGTCTAGTACTACTTTAGCGGTATTGATTACACAAAAAGCGATGACTATTTGTTGCTGTATGCTATATACACGGCAACGTTTCGTTAGAGTTTGCTCGTCTTGAAAGCACCATACGTTTGACTGTCGCTTTGTTTAGTAATCATCGCAATAAGGCTACGTTTCACCGTCAGTTTTTATAAAGGAATATCTCACCGGCGTCAAATTTCTCTATCTACTACTCTACCCAATGGAAAATATTGAGAAAGTTGATCGTGTATGATGTTTTGTATTACTGATGCTCTAATACACAATTCGTGCTCAAGCTCTTCATATAGTGATAATAGTAATTCGTTGATTTATCGAATAAGTTTTCCCCGTGACCTTTGCCAAACAAATTTAAAAGTGTTGCTTAATAAGCAAACTCACAAACAAAAATATTTCATAACGTTTCTGGGGCTTCAAACCTTTTTTATAGTCAAAGTAAATCACAGCGAAAAGGTCACGTCGGCTGAGCTCCATTATTGCCAGCGGACTCCCGCCTGATTACAAAACACTATTATTCTCTACCGAGAGCGCCTCATTCTCACGAAACCAGTATTTCCCAAATAGAATATTTGAACTAATAAGTGTTCTATTTTTAAATTAATCAGTAGATATCCAGTATTTATGATTATTGATGTAACTTGCCAGTCTCAACCAAATTAATAAAATAACTTCTTTTAGGATGCTATTTGTACTGTCAGCTGCGAAGGCACGGGTTCTGTATGAGAAATCTAGCCAGGCTAACATGTAGGCAAATCAACATATGTTAAGTTGTGGTTGTGTTGTAATTATCCCCGCTATATTGCATTTAAACCTCCCTTTAATCTTAAATCGATCTTATAGGGTTATTTCGGGCTCGGGTTGGTTGAGTGCCCTTGTGTTGTTTATACTCGTATAGTTTAGGAAAGCACCGTTTATATTGTCTGACAGTATTCGAAACTTGCCACTATGTTTGAAATCGGCCGATCGTTGCTATCATTATCGACTTAATCTATGTAAATTCCTTTAAAATATATTACTTCTTAATGATAATTTTTATAAAGTTTTCAAGCCAACTATATAAGCATAATATATGGTTTGACGCTTTCTTATATTAATTTACTATTATATGTCATATATATATATATATATATATATATATATATATATATATCTTTATATATAAAAATTACGTGTCACATTGTTTGTCGGCGATGGTTTCCTAAATTACTGAACTGATTTCTTTTCTTTCTTCTCTTGATTTGAGTTTTTTTAGCAAAACAAATGGTCGTCGGAAAGGACAGAACTACGCCTGCCTGGTCAGTTAATATATTATATATACATACACATACATTTACTAGATATTCTAGATATTCAGTGTAATATTCTTGTTTCTCTTTTAGACAAAATTCTTAGCACTATTTACAAAGTTAAATAGTCCATTCATTATAAAGCACAGAAAGATTCTTAAATGACGGTCCGCACTCAGGCCACCGAGTCGAATGGGGTAACTTTTGAGGATAAATGTGAAAAGTTGCGAGGAGCGGTTAACTAAGCGAAACTGTTGCCTAATGCTAAAGTGTAATTTCGTCGCTGCGTTCTATCCACGTGGGAATAAACGTTGTGAATCGTGATGCAAATTATTATTACTTTAGATATTATTTATAATGATAATGAACATAAGCTACCAAGCTAATTATTAATTCTAGTACCTTTTTTGTTAAATCAGTAAAGTTACAAAAGAAAAGAAAGATCTTTTAGTCGAAATTGGCCAGTAGTAGTTAGTGCATAGTTATAGTAGTCCGTCATGCAAAAATTGTTACATTTTTGGGGACTTTTACTGATTGGAGCACCTTGTGATAGATTGTAATGAAGATATTGATGAAGATGGTGATGATGATAATGATTGAATTATTTTAACTATTAACTAAAATCTAAGAAAATTATACTTAAATAATGCATTACTTGTTTTTGAATGCAAAATAACCGAAAGAATAATTAAAATTTATAAGTATAAAATTTTTAAAATAGCAGTTGCTCCGCAGCTGAAACTAATATTAAGTTTATAAGGAACAAAAAATAAAATAAAATAAAGCATAATATTTATTTCAAAAATAAACAATTTAAATAAGGTGGTAATTTTACGTGGTTACACATTGTTTCCCCGCAATATTATCCCGTATTTTAGCCAGGAGTGTGCATACTATGCGTAATATACTGATAATGCGGTTTCTGTGTTTGTACTTTATTCAAATTGCCTCAAGGAGACGCCCTTCTTCGGATAATCCCTAGGTGGAAGGACTCCTTTTTTGTCTTAAGGGTCCTTCAGGTTTTTGTACCATCCTCTTACCTATTTCTCCCGCCAAATAGCAGTGTGTGCACAGCTTCATTGGGGTGGGAAAAGTGCAGATAGCCAGTATAATTATAGGCTACTAGGCATTCCATCTCCTCCTCAGAGGCGACAACACATCTATAGCCATCTTTGTTTGAAGTTTTTTTGCAGGAGTCTATGGACTGCATGAGCCGCTTCCCATCAGGTGGACTGTATTTCGTTTGTCTTATAAAAAAAAAATATATAGCTACACATTTGTCAATTGCCTTGTAATTTTTAAGTTTACCTTTGGTACCGGAAAAATATAATAAATAATACGTAATTTGTTAGTAATTATACAAATTTAAAGTTCCAATTTTTATCATTTGGGTTAACTCTATTATTATTGGCTATAGGATTACTTTATGTACTTCTTTCACTGTAAGCTTGTCTCTCCGACTGATTACAATGTACGTGTCTTTAAAGCAAAACTAAATTGTTTTTTTGCGCAAGACTGCAGTTTACCGTCTAGGGCTTTATCACCACTTACTGCCAGGTGGGATTGCAGTAAAGAACTGACTTATAATAAATAAATAAAAGTATATTTTATTTCACTCATGTTCACACTGACCGATTTCAGTGTCAAAGTTGCAAACCAATCTGGTACTGTGATTATCAATCCGCCCGCTACGCACGACGATTACGGCAAATTTTTCCTTACAAATATAATAATTATTTCTTAAAAAAATATACCAAATAATAGCAGGTTACTCTTTACTGCTAGCTGGTAAAAACGGCACATGTCAGCGACGCGCGATCGAAGTTGACTCCTTAAGAAGCTGTGAATTTAGTGCCATTAATTCTTATCATATCCTTAACAAGATAGCAACTGATATTTTTTCGAATAGGGCTATATTATTGGTTTATGTTGAAGAAAATAAATCCTTAAAGCTAATACATTACATAACTATATCTTTTTACGTAGGTATATTTATGTTTTAGTATATTTTTGTTTGAATAACATTTTTAAAGATTAAGCTTATCAGTTATATTTTACGAATAACTTTTAAGTATTAAATAAAATCAACCATTATCGCCATCTTTACACGCGTTCAACATAATATGCGCGATTGTGTTGCTGGGGGGGGGGGGGGAGGGCAACAAAACGACTTCACTTTTTGTTAACCCTCGACTTCGCTCCCCATTGAATTTGTGTACCGCGGGCTATACATGAAAATCTATTCTTAAGGAGTAAACTCCAATGGGAGGAACATAGGCTACCACTTTTTAAATTTCTGTAGTTAAAGGCCGCCGCGTAAAATCCCGCTGATCCAACAATATTCAAACTTGCACAGCGGTCGCTATAGGGCTAAGCTCTTTAAAGTAATTCATGTTTTAATAAGGTTCGTTGCTTCTAAACTCCACAACATCCAGCCTTGATGAACGTTACGCGTGACTAAGTTTACAATAGCATAATATAATAAAGTTTTCTCAAGTTTCTATTAAGAAACTTCTATTGAACTTCAATTAAACATGAATATCACAGAGCCGTGGTACATGGCTCAGGGAATAAGCGCTCGCCATAAATTTCGCAGTACGCGAGCTTGTTTATTGCAATTTTTAGTGCAGATTTACCACGTACTCGACGGGGAGAGAACGTGACGTGAGATAAATTGCATGTCTGAACCATAAAAATATTTCGCAGACACGTGAAGTTCACCAATACGCACTGCAGCAGCACGGCGAACTTATTATCCATAACAAGCTCAGAAATA